CCCCTTCCCTACTGGGATTTTTAAAACCCCTTCCTGCCCAGGCCAATTTTCAGCTTTCAGTGCTGTTGACATTGATACTTTTGCGGGGGTCATGCAACATGTACCCAAACAAAATTTTTTATCTTTTTTTTGAGACAAAAGGCTTTTTTTGGTTTTTTTAATCACCACTGGGTTTTTATTTTTTGCTAACAAAAAAAAAAAAAGACAAAAAATGGACAAAAAAAAAGGGTTATTCTTAGTTTCTGTATAAATTTTGTAAATAAGTATTTTTCTCCTTTCTGATGTGTGCTGATAACTGCACTGATGGGCTGAAATGAGGGAATGATGAGGAGGCCTGATAGGCTGCAACAAAGCGGCCTGATGGGCGGCACTGAGGGGGCTTTGAAGGGGGCCTGACAATCATGCACACAAAGTGGACACTGCGAAAGGGAGGGGGTGACAGGGGTAAAGGGGTTTAATTGCGTAAAACCTGCCCCAGTAACAATCGTCTCAGGCCGAGAAAACAGTTTGTGGTCCTTTAGCTGGAAAATCTGTGTCGGGTGCAGCTGGGGGCATGGCTTTTTACCACGGTCAGCGCGGCTTTAGTTTGGTTCCCTTCGGCCCAGATTTGGTGAAAGGGCTGGGGCGACACCGGGGATTGTCACGGGCACTTTTTGGGGCTCTAATGGTGGCACGATGCGGACTGATGGGAAAGACGGCACGGGCCCAGCACGAGGGGGCACTGACACCCAACCGGGGGAGGCACTGACAGCCAGCATTTGATGAGGGTTAACAGAGGATAGCCAGTACTGATGGCCAACTTGACACCAAAGCACTGATAAGCACTGATTGGCACTAATACAAAGCACAGATGGGCACTGGAATGGGCCTCCAGTGGGATCAGTCAGGGCACTGATTTTGATCAGTGCCTTGATGATCAATGTAGAATGTCCCTCTCTGAGAAATGCTGCTTACCTAGCAGCTCTCCCTCTCCTCGCTCACTGTCAGCGTGAGGAAGGAAAGAACTGCCGTGATAAACCAAGCATTTCCATTTACATGTGATCAGCTGTGATTTTAGGACAACGGCTGATCATATGGTAAAAGGTGGCTCTGATTGGCCCTTTTCTGAACGACACAGCGATCCCAGCTCATGCACGATGCAAGGCCCAGGGGGTGCGGAGGGGCTATGGTCCTGGGAGGAAATCCACGCCGCCCTCCCAGAACTAACCAACCACACTGTACCACACTATCTATGCTACCATCTGTTGGCTATAACGTGGTCAGGAACTGGTTAACTTGCTGGTTGAACAAAAAAACTGACTTATCTATGGACTGCTTAACTTTCCCTCTATCTATGCTGCCGAACTTTGGTTTATCTGCTGTCACCCAATCTGGTTCCTTCTGCTGGCCTTCGAGTCACTACAGGAGAGTACACTAAAGAAGTGATGTAGGGGTGGATGGATAGAACCACAGCACTCAATGGCATAAGGCATCTGTTACACCCAGAAGTTTCAGATGCAGAAGATTCTGCAGTAGGTAGAGGGCAGGTAATTACTGTGTTTTTTTACTAGCACTTTGTTTAAAGTGGTAGTAAACACTGCTTGGACACTTGTACCTTAAGGTAAGCTTATAATAAAGCTTACCTGTAGGTACAAGGAATTAGATGTTTTACTGTTCATTTAGTTCCAAACCTAAATTCGATAAATGATTTGAATTCATTCGATAACAGATGGTTGTTAAGGAGCGGGGTGGCCGGCCTGCTGCTGCGTCCTTAACAGCTATGACTTATCTGTTGTCAGCGAGATTCTCTGCTGACAGAAGAATGGTAACAAAAGAATAAAAACAAAAAAGTAAAAATAATGGCATCCCTATAAGGCCTTTTGGTCTGGTATGGATTTTATCGCAAACCCAAAGCCAAAAATAAAAACGATGTGGGGTCCCCCCCCAAATTCATGCCAGACCCCTTATCCGAGCATGCAGCCCTACAGATCAAGAAAGGGGGGGACGAGCAAGCACCTCTTTCCTGAACCATACCAGGCCACATGCACTTAACATGGAGAGGTGCTTTGGGGCAGGGGGGATTCCCCCCAAAACACCTTGACTGGTGACAGCAGATGAGTCATGGTTGTTAAGGATGCGGCAGCCAGTAGGCCACCCCACTCCTTGACCATTTGCTGTCCGCCCTATGACTGAATGGCGGGCGGCAAATGTCATCAGCGTTCCGGTGGACGCCATATGGCGTCCTCCTGCACATGCGCAGATTGCGCTCCTGCAGAGCGGAGCAGCGGCGCGATCTGTCATCACCGTGTACCTCAGACACGGCCGATGACAGATCTGAGTATCGGCCCCCATTGCCAGTACCATGTGACCTGCTGTGACCAATCACAGCAGGTCACATGACAGTTTGTATACAATGGATGGCTTCATTCATGCCATCCATTGTATACTACTGCCTAGCTGTGAATGGTCACAGCTAATCACATGCACATGTCATGTGATTAGCTGTGGCCAAATCACAGCTAAGCACAAAAAAAGAAAAAACCTTGAATGAATCGATGTCATTCAGGTAAATGCTTGCCTATAGCAAAGTAATTCTTTGCTATAAGCAAATTGTGTAAAAAAAAAAAAAAATACTGATTACTTCCCCAAAGTAGTACAGTGTTACTATGGTAACATTGCACTACTTTGGTCATAGTGAAATATGAAAAAAATCTTAAAAAAAATAAGAGAAATGTAATAAAAAATAATAAAAATATATAGAATTTTTTTTTTCATACTGTCACCAGTTAGTGTCCCTGATCACCGCCATGCCAGTTATATGATGACACTGTACTGCACTGGTGACAATATGTAAAAACAAAATAGGGAAACTAATTTTTTTTTCCCGAAAAATTATGACAAACAAAATACAACTTTAAAAACTCGCTCGCCATGCCTCTTATGAAGTATGTTGGACTGTCTACTTTGCAAAACGGGGTCATTTGAGGTTTATCTGTACTGTTCTGACATTCTTGGACCTCAAGAAATTAGATTGGCTGTCAGTACTTCAGGATTGATCAATATTCAGATCTATACCATAGTTTGTGAACTCTATAACTTTCCTACAAACTAAAAAATACATCCTAATTTGGATTATTTTCACCAAAGACATGTAGCAGAATACATCTTGGCCTAAATTTATGAAGAACAATTATTTATTTGCAAACTTTTATAACAGAAACAAAGAAAAACTTTTTTTTTTCAAAATTTTTGTTTTTTTGTTAATTTAGCAAAAAATAAAAACCCCAGTGGTGATTAAATACCACCAAAAGAAAGCTCTAGTTGTGTGAAGAAAATGATAAAATTTTAGTTTGGGTACAATGTTGTATGACCGCGCAATTGTCATTCAAAG